TATTAATAAAACAAACAGAAAGACCAGCAATGTATCAAAAGATATACATTTTTTTTTTAAATAAGTAATGTTATTGTTTGGCCGAGCTTCTCCTCCGATTTGTGGCGTGCGCCTGAGGACCTACAGTTTTACGCCGACTTCGAACAGCGATTGTATTTTTATGCGAAGCTATTTTTCGTGGCAGAAATATACTCGGAGGTTTGACATTGCCTGCCGAGGAGCGACCGCTGTAAAGAAAAAACCTTTTCCCTAAATTTTTTTGCGATGTTGCTTGAACCAGGACTTGAACCCAGGCCCTGCTGAGTGGAAACGCGCACTGCTTACCACTATCCCACAGCGGCCTCCGACCGCAGTCATACCACTCAGTAAAGAAAAATTATTAAAATAAAAGAAGTACCTAGTCGTCGAATCAACGAACATTAGTAGTCTAGGGTTGATAAACGACTTAACCCTTTCAGTACGATAGTCCAATACATTGAACAATTTTTTTTTTATACTTAAAGCTATTTTTTTCTTTAATAAGACCTTTTGTTTTGAAAATAACAGTTGTTTTGAGAAAAGTATATCATTTCTTTTATTGTATTTTCGGGATGCAGTTGGCCGTGTTTTTTCACAAAAGTGAAAAGTGTCACAAAAATCGATATTGAGTAGTGTAATATACATAAAGAAATTAACAATTTTTCTGTGGAATTTAGATCCGAAAAAAATTTTAAATGTTATTCACAGTTTTGGAATATATTTCGTAAAAGAAAAAAATAAAAATTATTGATATCACATCCCTGTTTACAAATCTAGAGTACCACTGACCAATATAATGGATGCCGAATAACGGTAAAGCTAGGACTTTTATTATATAAATTTTTGATTGTATTTTTGAAATCCATGGCCGGAAATTAGCCGGTAAACAAATTTTCAGATTTTTAGCTTCAGCGGGTGATTTTTTGTACTGAGAGGGTTAAGTAGTTACCCAACAATATTAACAATAATGTGGGCATTTTATTTAAATATCCAATAAATCTTATTTTCTACAGCATGGGTTTATACATGTTTATAATGAATTTCCAATTTAATTTTGTTAATATATTTATTAATAGAATTCTTTTCTCCGAGCTTTGTGTTCCGCAAAAGAATCTATAACATCATCAAAATTTAAAGATAGAGCCACAGAATTTTCAATAGGCAGAATAGCCAAGCTACGTAGCCTGTCTTGTTCCATAGAGTTTCTCAAATAGGTATTTTTTTTTTCGAAAATTATCGTTCAGTACTAGCTGTATGTACAGTAATTGGAGCAAATAACATTATTGCAGTACATACTTCACGACATAAAGTAAAGTATATGTACATATAAGGTTAAATCTTTGGGTACGAGGAACGAGTGAAGAAAAATATTTCTCTGACTCACCCGTCAACTCCTGATATCATTTGTTAATATATCTGTGGTCATAAGCAATAATCGCCTAAGTCGAAAAACCTGAATTCGAGAAAAAAACCCTTTAAAGATTTGGATTTTTATGTTAACCTTATGGGAAACCAAAATATTTTAATCTATAACTTTTTAAATAGCCTGGGTAACGAGATGAGAGTTTCACATACACATGGAATAGTAGTTGCGGAAAACGATCCTTTCTTAAGTTGTTGTTGTTGTAGCAGCATACAAGTTCCCTAACGGGTTTTTGGGGAGTGTTGCTGGAGTGACAGTCCTTGGCCAGATATAAATCTGGGTCGTTCCGGTTACGGGAACGATTTCTTAAGTTGACTTAGGCGGTTATTGCTTATGACCACAGATATGTACATCTGAAAGCATCTAGAAACAAGTGACGACTGACATCCAATGTGTGCGGTGCGTGTTCATTTCTCTTGTACCTCGCATGCGATCAAATTGCAGAATATATGTAGTCTAGTAGAGTAGGTAATAAAGGCCACAGATTTCAGTTTATAGATTTGTCATCAACGTGTATTTTCCCAAATTTAATATTTTTTATACTTTCTTTGAACCTTGATCATTATTAAAACACTTTAGTTTAATTTCTAACTTTATAGGATTCGCCAAATTTTCCGTATGTGTGACGCTATATATAAATCTTTAAAGCGTTTTTTCTCGAATTCAGGTTTTTCGACTTAGGCGATTATTTCTTATGACCACAGATTTATCTTTAAAACAAAATAAGATAGGAAACAAGTGTCTGTTTATAAAATGTAGCTTTTGAGGTTGATTATCAGAATAAATAAAAAACTTTCGGTTTTTACACAACGTTTCAGAAATGGTCTTTAGTTGTGTCTCACTTTAATTGATTTTAAGTACTTAAAAAATTATAACTTTTAAGAACTTAGTGTTGTTGAAAATGTTAGGTTATTTCTGATCTCGCGGTCTCTTGGGCCGGGGCCCTCTCGTATCGGGCACCCGTGGCATTTTGCCAGCAATGCCACCCTATAGTTACGCCTCTGACGTAGAAAGATGTCAAGTGTGCTGTTGATAGAAAGAGAGAGAAGTAACGTCTACGTCACGGTCATGCGGTGGTGAGTTTTGGTTAACACGCAGATCCCATAAGATAGATCGTGTCAGCTGACACGTTCTCCGTTTTTACGTCCATGGGTAACTGCGCTTTAAGAGTAAATCAAAGAAAAAGGAGTATAAATCAAAATATGAATGATGTACTGGACTTTGTAAGTGCTTGTGTGTAAAGCAAAGAGTTTAAAACTGATTTATGAATTGTAAAATGTTTACAGCAGGAATGTCAAAACAGTGCACCAACCAATCGTTAATCCGATTTAAAAAAAAAAAAACTAGTTTGTCCGCATTTTAAATCAAACACCATTTACGGTTATTCTTTTGTGTTTGACGCTTATAAAAAACATACACTACTTATATAAACAAATTATTTTATAATTTGTATAACATAAACTGGGAAGTTTTACAACCCATCGCACATGTGCAGAGAGATATTAAAACCTAGTTTGCATAACTTCTGTTGGAATAGATCTTAATGAAAATACACACTAACGGCCCTATTCCCACAACACTGACAAAACTCAGCGGCTGACTATTGCGTTTACTACTGCGCCTAATACTATGCCGCAAATTTATTTTAAACTCTCGTATGGTGACATTTGTCAGTGTTGTTATTAAGACCTACTGAGTACGCGACAACGGCGAAACAACCCCAATGTTTATACATACATATTTTGTTTTAGGCGCAATAATTGTGACAATAGTCATACGATAAATTTTGTCAGTGTTGTGGGAATAGGGCGGTAAATTGCTTAGAAGGATGACAATTTCAGCATAAGTTAATTAATCACCAAACCTACTTAATCAAATTAAGGGTTAATGATTAAAAATTAATTTTTTTAATCACGGTTAGGATTAACTGTTTAATCAGATTAAATTAAATCATGAACTGTAATTCGATTGAATTTAATCAAATTAACTAATTGATTAAAAAATCAATCGATTAGTGCCAACACTGGCACCAACTGCTCACATGCAAGTTGCTCGCCAACATGCTGAACAAAATTTCATAATGTTTCGCGAACATGCTCGTGAACCATGATTCAATAACCTTATTGAATCATGCACGTGAACCGCACCATAAACAGCGAACATGGACCGTTAATAGGGAATTTAAATGATTCAACTTTCACAGGCGATTAGTTGAATCGAAAGTTGAACGAAAGTACATAGGAAGCTAGCCAACTTCATTAAATGCGATTAGTTGCAAGACCGTTTACACGAGGCGATTGTTGCTTTCAGCTAAAAGTTGCCTTGGCTAAGATTTGCATTACGGAACCAATTGCTATTCCGTGCAAAGTATACTGAATTTTTTTATGAAACCCGGTAGGGATACTAATGGAGGTATCCTTTAACTATATTTATCACTTTAACAATGTTGTTGCTAATAGTACTTAAGTTATTTGTTGTTAAAATATCCCCCCTGCTACCACTACATTTTATTATAACCCCACACCTATCATTTTTTTTACACAAATATATTATCCTTAAAAGGTTCTCGTGCGTTTGTAATACTTTAATATACAATTATTAATTAATTAATTAAGTAAAACGCGTTTATGAATGTCTTCACAAACGTTTGCTCATTTCACAGACCAGCAGAAATAACAATGACTGACAGTCACACAAAATGTATGCTACCATACGTTAAAAAAAATACTCCACAAATAAGTGCGAATAATTAGGGGGTATAAGTGTACAATACGTACATTGCTCTTATTAAAAATAATAATATTAGGATCGATAGGGGTCTTACTCCTGATCATACCGGTATAATTTTTTTCGGGGGAAATAATATTTACTGGTGTTATTGTAGTTCAAAGTACACAAATGTAGAAAATGTACATCGATAATTAGATAAATAATGAAAATATTGAATAAAAAATCGCGCGATTTTTTATTTAAAATATTCGCCCGCGGCGCTTTTTCCATAAAAATCAATACTTCGATAAATAATGAGAATTTTTTATAATAAATCGCGCGATTTTTTATTAAAAATTTTCGCCTGCGGCAATTTTTCCGTAGAAATAAATACTTCGATAAATAACTGAGTTAACACTTTTATTACAAAATCTCTCGATTTTAGACTGAATCACTTTTTTTTTATCAATACATCCATATTTATTTAAAAAAAAAAATTAATTACAATGCCCGTTTTTATTGTTTCTCGTTTTCAGTGTTTTTTTTTTGGGGCATTTTTTGTTGTGTGGCAGCACCGACATTTTAGTTCAATTGGTTTACAAAGCAAAAAGTGAGGTTGAAGTTGACATTTTTTGCAACTTAAAATTCAATTTTCATAAAAACTATAAGCCTCCGGAGGGTGGAGTTTTCAGATTTACAATCACAAAAAGCCACTCTAAACCCCCTCAGGTAAAAGTGCACTTTAGCGAAGGTAGGTCAAAATGGACGGAAAAAATTNTCCCGTTGCCTTAAAAGTCGCCTCATGTAAATTCCCCATAAGCATGACCATGCTCGCAGACGTGTCCGGCATGTGTGGCCAGAGTATACGAAAGTCGAAAGTGTAAAAAACAGCTGTTCCTTAAACAGCAATTTATTTATTTACAAAGAGCAAAACCCGGGCTACGAAACAAAACAAAAAATAAACCTAAAATGGGTGCTCCTGAATTACCTGGTGATCCCGGAGAGGATGATGTACACGGGACCCAACTAAACGTACACCATCCACCAGTGCCTAGCGATGATAGCGATAATGAAATTAACTCCACAGACGCATATGATGGTTACCAGCCATTGGCCATGGTCGAAGATGTCAACGACACAGCGATGGATGATAATGAATCAATAGAGGACAACTCTGAAGATACAATACAATATGCTGACAGTGATAGTGCTTGTGGAAATGGTGAAGCTGGAAATTTGCCGCCGGTGGAGAGTGCCGATGCAGAAATCGAAAGACAAGTGTGGAGTGAACCACGACCGAAGGAGTTGCAATTGGAATTAGACAACTCAAAAACGACACAGGTAAGCTCTTAAAGAAGCAGCCACTTATGCACTTACCAAATTTTAGAAAATACATATGCAAGTATATTTTTGTAGATATTGAATGTCATGGCGAATATTACTCTACCGAACGCGGTGGTGCCCGATTGGGCTGCAGGAGTGCCGGAAGAACGTTGGAAAGCTGAACTGTTGGAACGCATACGTCAACGTGATGAATCATGTAATGTAGTTAATCAGCAAAAAAGTACTTAAATACCATAGCATAGTGTTTTAGAAATTCGTGGCGATAACACTGGTTGATAGAAGAAATGTGCAATGTATGCTACTTTCAAATTCCTATATAGAATTGCTCGCTGATTCCAAAAATCTAGTTAGTTTTTTATTCTATGGATAAGTTCTGGAGATATTTTCAATTTACCGTTATTCAACTTAAAACAAAAAGTGGTTCCATTTTGGGCCAGTTTTTCAATGCACGGCCATGGTTTAAACTCAGTTTAAACTCCCGATCTGGCTGGTTGAAACTAAGATCGGCCAATCAAGTGCCAGCCAGCTATTCAATTTAAACTCAGTTTACTTAATCTAAGTTTAACCTAACACTGAAAAACTGGTCCTTAAATACCTTTATCTTTCGAACGAGTTTAACATTTTATTATGAAATACGGCAAATGAAAGCTAAGAAAATTCTTCATACACCGTATGTCGCCTGGGTAAAAGATTTTCGTAAGCGCAATTTTGACGATTTTTAGTTCTAAATGCAGTTATATATTTTGAAATAAGGTCTTTCGATTGGTGTTATCAGTTTTCATCCTTTAGTTTCCGAGATATTGACTACAATTTTTTCTATAATTTAGTAAAAATTTAGTTAGTGGTGCAGCCATTTTCGGATATCTCCTTTAGTTTCTGAGATATTGAGTAAAATGTGTCGTTAATTTAGAAGAAATTTTGATCACATTTTGTCGTATTTCATACAAAGTGGCTGCCAAATTGTGGACAAATGACGCTTACGACAAAATTTTAATAAAGAAAATCCTTCATAAACTCAAAGCTAATTAATATTAAATATTAAAAATAATAATTAATTTAATAATTTTGTGAACTAGTTACATTTTCAGAGACTTTGGAGAATATCTATCTTCGCGTTTTTGAGAAATTGAATTCCAAACTTCAACCGCGATTTCCCACAACCTGCCGAAATCAAGATACGACAATCTTTTACCCAGACGACGGTATATAAAACAGTTTTCGATAGATCTGATAGTTTCGAGCAAGTTAATTGATCATTCCAGATTTCTTTTAATGAAAATGTGAATAAAAAAATATATTCTAAGCACGTGTACTATACATAAAATGATAAATATATTTTTGTTTTGGTATTGTAAATGTATGTAGTAATCTAGTATTTGGTGGTCGAGCTGCATGAATTTATGACAAATATTCGGGTGTATTTTTTTCCAAGAAATTAAATTTGTCGTTCAAGGTAATATAAACGGACCTGAAACTGCAATTACTCAAATTCAAATGGAATGTCGGTTGGAGTCAAGGTACATTAAAACAGGTAGAAGCAATAGAGATAATCTATAGGGGCCTTCATCTTAAGTGATAAACTGCTGATAAACTTGATAAAATTATAAATTTATTATTTTGATAAATGAACTGTCAAACTTTGTATGGAAAGCTATTTAACCAAAGTTTAGCACTTTATCAAACGATTTTGATTTGTGGATAAATGTATAAATTTCAGCAAAAGTCGATCCTGGCAGGTTGAGAGCTGGGTCGCTTTAACTACGAACACATAAAAAGGAAATGAACACAATGGACGAGGTAAGAATGAAACATAACTAGCGAAATAAATTATATAATACAGATTTTTATGTAATATTTACAAAGGTGCGTTCATGAAAGAATGCAGATAAACTGATAAATTTAAGCAATTTATCCCTTTAGATAAAGACTCCTTATATACATACTAGCAGACCCGACAAACTTCGTCCGCCCCCCAAAAATTATTATTTTTTTTTTATTGAAACATTCGGTCCAGCGTTTTCACCAACAATTCACGTTCATGTTTGCTTTTGTGGTCGACAGAAAGCATATCCTTCATTACCGTCTTAGATAACCTAACGAAGAAGAATTTCTTGCGGCTACAATGATCCGGTTCGATGTTGAATGGCCCTAATATGTATAGTATAGTTGGTGGCAATTTCAAAATGGGGGAGAAACATTGGTCACCAGAAATCCAATATACATCCCCCACTTTTCTAACATTACAACAGCTCCCACTTCTCTTAATGAGTATGGAATTGATTTCGAATATCTCGATACCAAGTTCCAGGACCCTACCTCAAATACTTCCAAAGATGTGCGGTATGAAAAACTCGATTTGTGTGGGTGATGCCACGCTCACTTGATACATCGAAATTATTATTAGCCTATAACTAATATATAGCTAAATTTTTATACGAGAGCGCACTTGTGCACAAGGGTATTATAACTTTGTTCACATAACGGTTGTTTGAAACAGGCAAAACGAATCGAGAAAGATATAGACAAATGTATACATAAATGATCAGAATGAAAAGAGAAATCGATTAAGCGGTGACTGTCTGTCCGTCCGTCTGTGCACACGATAACTCGAGTAAAAATTGAGATATCTTAACGAAACTTGGTACGTGCACTTCTATCTGGCGTAGGACCGATGGTATTGAAAATGGGCCAAATCGGACAATAACCACGCCTATCTCCCATATAATGGTAATTTTCAGAAATTCGAAAACCCCAAAATTTAGTATCTACTTAAGATTATTCACTCAAAATTTATAATTACAATAAGTTTCAAACGAAAAATAAGAATATTATAAATTTTTGGAAAATGAGCGTAGCCACGCCCACTTATGGTTACATGTGTATATCTTGGTAACCGCTGGACCAATTTCTTCCAAGCTTGGCACAGTTGTTGGCCTTGGTATAACATACGTAATGGCCGCGAATTTTTAAAATCGTACAATAACCACGCCCTTATCCCATATAACGGTAATTTAGAGAAACACGAAATCTTCGAGTAAATATTAAAGATAATTTATTCAAAATTGATGCTTGCAACAATTTTTTACCAAGAAATACGTGTGTGATAAAATTTTGGAAAATGGGCGTGGCACCGCTCACTTATGATCACTTATATGTATCTCGGTAACCCTTCCACCAATTGGTACCAAACTGGGTGTGGTTATTGTGCTTGCCACATAGAAGCAAAGCGTTGAAAATTATTGAAATCGGACTAAAATTACGGCCGCTTTTCATATAACAGTAAATGTCAGAAATGCTTGAAACTTGAATATTTCGAAATTTAAGGATGCTAATTTACTCAAAATTGATACACCCCGGTTTACCATGTAGTGGTAGCTTTCGGAAAGGCGAAAACCATATATTTAATACTTGCGCCGGGTATTTAATGTTCGGCTCCGCCCGAACTTACACCCTTATTTTATAACCCGAATTTTCGCAATTCGTAGTTACGTTACGAAAAACGAAAAATCGGCATGCTGCAACCTTGCGGAAACATATGCAGCATTGTCAGCTGTCAGTTGTTTTTCGAACTCAGCTGTATGAAGGAAAACAAAATGGAAAGGAATTAAAAAAAACATTACTAATGTGCTTGTTTATAGTGAAATTGATTAATTTTAATAGAAAGGAGACAGTCGCCGCTTTCTAAAAAGGGGTACCCCCCCTTGGACTCCTCCCATAGGCACCTAGGGAACCGTTTGAAAAAGGGAGAAAAACGGAATTTTCTTAGGCAAACTGAGCAGTTTGAAGTGGAATATGACCCAACTAACAGAAACCGTGGGATTTTTTAATAAAAGAAATTATGCCAAATTAGATATGGGGGGATTTTGAATAAAGAATAAAAAGTTAATTAAAAATAGAAAAAAAAA